GGACCTGTACTTGTATATCGCCTTTCTAGTCTTCTGACCACTCAAAGCGCTTTTACACTATGGGTCAGACCATTTTTACTATATGGGGTGCAGTGGAAGCCAGTGAATGCGTGAGCAGATGATAACCAAGATGGAGATGATGACAAAGAGAGCCACATTTTTAATTATGGCCTTTTTGAGGAGCAATGGCTATTTCTTCCCCCACCACAAATAGTTCCTTTCTAGATATGTCTTATAGTATTCTTGGAACAATAATGTGTGTCTCATATGTTTTTTCTACATTAAAATACTTTAAAAAAGTAATCTCCTCCTTCTACCTCATTAAAACTTCCAGAATCTCTGAATATGCAAATGTTATTGATTTCTAAAGTTTTCCTGCTGGACACAAGATGTCTCCTACTCAGTGGATGTGCACTGGTGGCTTCATCACACTGTACAAGTTGCATACTGGACCAGGACTGACTTCCTCACTATTTGTGATGTCAAAAATCCTGCTGGCAGGCCCAGCCCTTTAAAATCAGATTCACAATGAGCACAGAGAAACTTTCTACTTTCAGCAGATGAATGTGAAAACATCCTTTTTGAGTCAAAGAGCACTGCAGGAACAAGAAGAAACACTGATTTCTGACTGGAAGGGACTCCTTCCATGACAACCTCCATTGCAGCTGAGTAACTTGCCACTGCAGATTTGTGTTTAATATCAATCTAGAGTGACGTAAAAAAGTCACATGAAACTGATATGACTGTTGACTATAATTAGACCTGTATCTGATTTAGGAATCAGAATGAAAAAGATCATGAGATCTGTGTTATTTGTGTCACATATGAGCAAAGTAGAGGCAGTAGAATTCTGTGCAGTTGAGAGCTGATAAATTATTTGTCTCAACAGGAGCAGGAGCTTTGTACTGAACGTGAAATGTGGTTTAAAAAGTGTATATGTGGACAAATTACAGCAGTACGGATGTTGCCAAAGTGGAATGTTTTTTCTCTTCTTGTGGATTATGAAGTAATGTAAGGATTTTTGTAAATTGTTTTCTTTTATGATAAGGAAAATCATTTGGGTCATTGCCTCAGCTGTGCTTGCTTTGTATCTTAAAAGATAGAAATAAAATGACTTGTTACTCCTCCCTCGCTACACATCTTTGGGACCTGAACAAAGATGAGAGCCGACTTTTGTGTTACATCATGCTTTCCACTTTGCAGAGCATCCCAGGAAGATTGTGTAAGAAATTTTAGGTAAACTTTTCAAAACAAAAGCTTGTGATGAGTTGTTGAGCAGGTAAGCAGAGTGGGGTTAGTGGACTGGTTAAATAGATAGACATACTATGTTCACACAAAGTCCATGGAAGTACCTATAGCGTCATTTTTGGAAGTGCAGATTTACTGATCAAGTGGCCATATTTGACAAGTTGGGATTGAGACTTATTTGTAAGGTCTCTAATCTCTGTAACCTCTGAAATCTCCTCTGATGGCTCTGAAATCTCCTCTGAAGTCTCAAACCACTCAGAAAAACAATGTTTGTAATGGTAACGTAATGTTATCGTTATCTAGCCAGCTAACCTTAATATCGCCAGAGACTCTAATTTCATTATCTGAAGAGCAAGCAAGTATTCCTCATAAGGCTATTTGTAATGTTAATCAAGTTGAACGAATGCTACTGTTTTAACTGGAAACTTATGTATGTGTAATGTGTATTTTCCAACATTGACCCTGTTTTCAATTTTGTTAAATTGGTCCAGTACTGAGGGAGTGCGCTGCAGCTGGGGGCAATTGTGCACCGCAAAGG